TCACAGCATACGACCTGGAGAGGCCGGCACAATAATAGTCACTACTAAGCAGGCGACCTGGAGAGGCCGACACAATAATACTCACCTCCTAATCTGGGATATGACAAATTCGTAAGGGAAAAGTCTAGAGAGATGGTACTCACCTCCCAATCCGATACACGACAAAGTCGTAAAGGAAGATGCCTGGAAAGGCATCATAATACTCACTTGGCGAGAGAAACATAGAATTCTTGCCACACATACATCCTCAAGGAAGACGCCTGGAGAGGCATCATAATACTCACACGATAAGAACAACACTAGAATCCCTGCCACCCATCTCATTCCCTAATTAAGACGCCTAGAGCATCACTACAATACTCACATAGCGGGGCATCATACATCCCGTTAGCCCTAGCCCAAATTGGGGGGCATATCAAGCATTCCCCTACTTGTCAACCAGAGGGGCATCCCATAACACCAATAAGAGGACACCGTCAAGTTCCTCAAGTCAAAGCTCGGAAAAGGTTGCTAGACCCTCAAAACTAGTACAAGCTCAGAAAAGGTTGCTAGACCCTCAAAACTAGTACAAGATCGGAAAAGGTTGCTAGACCTTCAAAACTAGTACAAGATCAGAAAATGTTGTTAAAACCTCAAAACTAGTACAAGATCGGAAAAGCGTATTGGGCTTCATTCCCTCCACTTCCTTATTTTAAGCTACTCTAAGACCTCTAAACCTACAGATAGCCATCCTATGGTCTTCTAGGAGTCCTTCTGGCTGACTTTCCTTCGATCTTTGGGGGTCTTCGAGTTTTATTTCCGACCCGGACAATTTTAGGGGTCTACACATACTTTTTCTGTGAGAGAAAAATTCCATCATCAAACTTATGCACTTCCATCCCTAAAAAATACCTCATCACTCCAAGATCTGTCATTTCAAAAACCTGCAACATGTTGTTTTTAAACTCTTCAATTTCATCAACATCATCGCCTATAATCAACAAATCATAAACATAAAGTGAAACCACAATTTTCTTTTCATTGCCACAATCTTTCACATAAAGAGTAGGCTCATTTTGGCTCCTCTTAAAATTATTTTGTAGAAAATGAGAATCAATTTTGTTGTACCAAGCTCTTGGAGCCTGTTTCATCCCATACAAGGCTTTATGAAGCCTATAAAATTTTTCTTCATGACCTGCAACAATAAAACCATCAGGCTGTTCAACATATATTTCTTCTTGCAACACTCCATTTAAAAAGGCAAATTTAACATTCAAGTGAAAGATTTTCCATCCATATTGAGCCGCTAATGCAACAATTAATCAAATTGTTTCATGCCTAGCAATCAGTGCAAATGTATCACCATAATCAATTCCAACCATTTGAGAATACCCCTTCACAACAAGCTTTGCTTTGTGCTTGTGGATGGAACCATCTGGATTTAATTTTGTTCTATAAACCCATTTGACGTCAATCACATGTTTGTCCTTGGACTTTGAAATAAGTTCCCAAATGCCATTTTTGTTAATCATGGCCAACTCCTCCTTCATTGCATCTTTCCATTCTTCATGCATTGGGGCCTCTTCAAAACAAGAAGGCTCACTTACAACAAAATTGCATTTTTCATAAATTTTAGCCAAAGACTTGGATTTTAGCACAGGAGAATCAAATTCAGCAATATGATTTTTATTCTCATTTGCAGCTTGCTCTTGGTCGAAATTGGTTGTCAACTGTTCTGTTTTTGTGCTCCTTTGAACTTCATTATTTTCCCAATTCCAGTATGCATTCTCATCAATTTGAATATCTCTGTTGATCACAATCTGTTTTGTCCTCATATTGTACACCCGGTAACCTTTGGAGTTTGCAGCATAGCCTAAGAAAATTCCCATTTCAGCTTTGTCATCTAATTTAGATCTTTTTGCTGCTGCAACATGAGTATAACAAATAGATCCAAAAATCTTCAGGTTTTTCGCAGTGGGCTTCACTCCATTCCAAGCTTTAATTGGTGTTTTCTCTTGAACAACTCTTGTTGGTAGCCTATTCAAAAGATACACGACTGTATAAACAACTTCAACCCAAAAACATTTTGGCAATTTCTTTTCAGCAATTAAACATCTTGCCATCTCCATAACTATTCTATTTTTTCTGTCAAAAACTCCATTTTGTTCAGGAGTATAACTTACTGTCAATTGATGAACAATGCCCATATCTTCACAAAATGCATTAAACTCATTAGATGTATACTCCTTCCCATTGTCAAATCTCAACATTTTAATTTTGCAGCCCTTTTGAGACTCCACCATGGCTCTAAACTTTTTAAAGACATCAAAAGTTTGAGCTTTGCTTGATAAAAAATACACCCATGTCATTCTTGTCAAATCATTAATAAACAGAAGAAAATATTTGCTTTGGCTAAAAGAAGGAACACTCATTGGACCACACAAATCAGTGTGAATAAGCTCTAATTTTTTCTTTGCTCGTGTGACATTTGTTGATGAAAAAGACTTTCTATGCATTTTCCCCATTGACAAGCATCACATAAATCATCGATAATACCCATCATAGGCATGTCTCTCACCATATCATGAGTTTGCAAAAATTTCAATGCACCCATATTAAAATGATCATATCTTTTGTGCCATAAAACAGAATCATCATGTTTGGAAATAAGAGTTGATTCATTCACTCAATTCAAACTGATTGGAAAGCTATTATCACACATTTCAACCTTAATAACTTCAGAATCATTTGAATCCAATATGATACAACCATTGTTTTTAAATGAAAGAGAATATCCTCTCTTCATTAGTTGAGCAACACTTAGCAAATTCTGATCCAAATCAGGAATAAATAAAACATCATGAATAAATTTAGGACCTTTGCTAGTGTGAACAGAAACAGTACCTCTTCCTTCAGCTTGTACAATATCTCCATTTCTAAGCTTAACTTTGGTTTGGACAACCCTATCCAAAAAAGTAAAGAGACTTGAGTCCCTCAGCATGTGGTTTGTGCACCCACTATCAACATACCATACATCATTTGAACCTGAACTACGTGTTTGAGTAGCCATAAACAAGTGTTCTTCATCTTGGAGTTGTTGATCAGTGAAGTTAGCTTGATGTGCATGTGTTGTTTGAGATTGGTTCTGCCTGGATCTGCAGTACCTCTCTCTATGTCCCCACTTCTTGCAAATGTTACATTGGATTTGAGGCTTCCCCTTATACTAACAATCTTTCGACAAGTGATTTGTTCTTTTGCATGTAGAACAAGGAGGAAAATGATTGTTTGTTGCAAATTCACTACTCCCATCCGTCTTGGTTTTCCCCCTTTGGTCACCAACTGCTTTATAATTTTGCTTCTTTTGATTTTTCTGACCAACTTGTTTTCCCTTGTGTCTTGCTTGAAATGCACCTTCAGTTACATCATCCATTCTCATGGAAAATCTTTGCTCATGAGCTTGCAATTTACTGACCATTTCAGAAATGATTAGTTTCTTAAGATCACATGACTCTTCAATGGCAACAACTTTGGCTTCAAATTTTACGGGTAGACTGATAAGCATTTTCTTGACTACCTTGTGGTCATGGACCGCCTCACCATACAATCTCATTTGGTTCACCAATTGAGACAGCTTTGAAGTGTACTCCTTGACTTATTCACTTTCCTTCATTTTAAGCATTTCAAACTCTCTTTTAAGAGTCAATAGTTTGATGGATCTCACATGTTCATCACCGACATATTGTTCGTTCAGCTCATCCCATATTTGTTTTGCTGTTTCCAAATACATAATGCTTATAAAAACATCATCTGTCAAAGCTGAATGTAAACATGAGACAACTTTTTCCTTCTTCAAAGTCTCCTCCTCATGTTGCTTCATTTGAGCTATGGTAGGATTAGCCCTCAATGGTGGAACTTCTTTATCTTGATCTACATACTCCCATAAGCCAAAAGACTTCAAACATGATCTCATTTTGATAATCCATATGTGATAGTTTTCCCCAGAAAATTGAGGAACAACAAATACACCATTATTCCCCGAAGCCATTTTATCACTCACTCACAAGTGTTTAATCTCTCCTCTCAATTTTTTTCAGACCCACAGCCTATAAGAACAATGCTCTTGATACCACTGTTAAGTCATGCAATGGGCAGCGGAAGCATAAAACATAAAAATCATACAAAACTATAAAATAGAGAAGAGGAAAGGTTAGGGAACAGAACTATTGTGTTTGCTGAACAACCATACCATTCTACATGTTTTTCATTCATATATAAGGCAAATACATGAAAAATGACAATCATACATAGAGCTCATAAATGCTGTCAGTAAAACACATGTTCCCACCATCATTAAATGTGTAGATTTGCCTAAAATCAGATACCTAACAAGATGTTATCTACTGGACTAAGCAAACATAAGTACAACAGAACTTTACCTATTAATACAAGCAACCATAATTAATTATAGCAGTAAAAAAATAAAGGAAAAGTTTTATTGTTTTAACAAGTCTCTTTGCTAGAATTTTTGAAATTATTGTATGCATGCACCCTACAAGGGAGATTGGTCGATAGTATCATTAGCTTTGATGATTGTCTTTCTTAGAAATGAAGACTAGGCTATGAATGAGGATTGAGGATTGTTGCCTTTAGGCATTAACTCACTAATATGAAATTCTTCCAAAACTCTTAGGATGTCAAGCTTTAGAGTACCCTAAAAAGCTTTGATGAACATGAAATTATAACCATCTGGGTTTTGCCACCATCACATTCCCAGATTGCACTTTAATTTCATCCTCCACAAATCTAGCAGTAAGAAACATGTTCTCCATTTCTCCACCTTAACCCGCGACCCTTTTGTATTTTATTCTCTTGATATCTAGGAACTATCTATTTATATACTCAATAGTCAAAACCTTCAACACTCAATACCTAGACTACATTCCATTAATATATACTCAAATTCACTACAAATGTGAACTGAAATTATGTTTATCTTGTGGATTTCTCCGAAGAGGGACATGTAAAGTCAAACTTAAACTTTTGATAACAACCAAACATTCATATGGACAGTGTATCTATTGTAGGCCTGTATCTAGATAGGCCATACCATAAATTTACTAAGCATATCATTGAAATGTAGTAGTCAGAGACATACATATTACATATACCGATGATATTCCAAGTGAATTCATCGAGTGTCGTTCACAAATCAACACACTAAACCATTTTACATCTTATAAGGTAAGCTTTGTATTAGCCATATTCATATTTAATTTAAAACCTTATGTAATTAATAGTCTTCTATTCATTTGTAGGACGAAGCATCCAAGGTGGAAGAATGGCATTGGCTCGAGTTGGAGTTGGGGTTCCTTCATTATCTCCATCACCTCTGACTTGTGAGGAGCCTCTGCATCAAATAACCCATTTAATTAGTATTATCGCTTTCTGTTCAAATCGTTGCTAAGGTCAAAAAGTAAAATGAACATGGCCTAGACAGATAGACATACACATGTATCGAGAGATCCTCTAATTCTAAAATTAAGACTAGGTAGATTTAATCTATTTAATAATTTATGTTTTATATTAAATTTTATTAATTTAATTATTTAATTAAAAATTATTAATGTAAAAATTAAGTTTACAAATTTTAAAAAATTTAAAAATTATTAAATATTTCATTTTATTAATTCAAAGTAATGGATAATCATAAACACGTTTTATACATAAATTTGAATTTATATAAATAAATATTATATGATTGTAAGTTTTTTTAAAAAATTTATAAACTTAATTTATGTGTCAAGAATTTTAAATTTAATAATTAATTCAATATAAAAAATTAGTTATTTAATAAAGTAACTTTATTAAAACATAATCTTAACTTCATATATATATATATATATATAGTGACGCAATGATCATGTGGGTTTCCTTAATTTACTCTTCCCAAGTTGCATATTCCATCCTTTTAGAGTAAAATGCATTTAGATGACTATCAATGATTCACAAAACAATATTGTTTCTTTTGGTACTTATCATCGGATAAAATGAGATAATAAGGTTTAAACATGTGATTTCATGCAAAATACCTCAACTACTTTTATCTCGTAGTAATTTGCGTGTTAGAGTTCAAGCAAAGTGGTGAAAACATAAAATATATTGTGTTCTAATAGTCTAAAAATTCTCAATGATCATTTGTAAATATTATCCTCCTTTAACCTATGACATACCCTTTTAAGTAAAAAATTGTGACAAACGAATGTTAAAATGAACGGTATCTCAATTATAGTAATTTTAACAATACCAACAAATTTAAGGTCAAAACATATTATTTTTATTGATAAGCCAAATATTTCATTAGAAAGAAAGGAAAGCAAATATTTTTATTATTATTCACAAAATGCAAATATTTTACTAGCCCTTCCCTATGTTTCACGTTATATATATATATATAGATAGATAGATATATACAAACTAGTTAAGAAAAGGGGTGGTCATACTTCGATAGATACCCAAGCTTGGATATAAAAAGATGGTTGAAGAACTGACAGAGACTTAGGAAATTAAATACACTAACCTAATATTTGAGGTTTCCACTGGTTGAGGTACAAGAACAGAAGAAGTTAGATCCATTTCATCACCATGTCGTTCCAGTTGTGCCCGTTGGGCTAGTGCCTTCTCTTTCTCCTTTATCTAGTTCAAATCCATGTAATCATAAGTGAGATTTAACATCCAAAAACTACAAACTAATTACAGTTAACAAGAGTTGTTGATCAGAAGTAAAATTGAGACATTAATTACCTTCTTAGAGAGAGTGTTGTTTTGTTCCTGTAGGGCCTTATCCTGCAACATTTGCACATTATAAAATTGAATCTGTCAATGTTTACAATAGATGATCCAAATATATATATATATATATATATATATATATTAGTGTTTTGATATAAATTAAAAATATTTTTTCAATATATTTAATTATTACAGTAATTGAAATTGCATATGAATATTAGAACTGCGCTAGACATAAACCTATTCTTTTATATTAAAACACACATAACGACAAAGTAAAGAGAAATGTCATGACAATAGTTTATTATAATAAATTAATATTATATAACCTTTTAGATGTTATTTGTCTGAAGGAACAAGCATGGGTATAACCTAAGCATTCGATGAGATTAATGCATTTATTACACTTCCCTCCTTTTATGTTTGGAAAATACATTTACTTTCCCTAATTTATACTCCTTCTTGTCTTTTTATAATTTACTTGAATTAAGGAAATTAGCTAGTTTTTGGTACAGAAAAATTAGCTTAGTTAGTAATATTAAATGTCTTAAATTTATATTTTTGTTACTTTTAACTTTTTAATCTGTCTAATCATTAATATATTTATTACATTAAGTTTTATTGGCTATGAATGTTAATAGTTAAAGTAAGATTCTCAAAATGTTCTTTTTAATCTATCTAATCATGGTGTAAAAAAAATCTGTCTAATCATTAATATATTTATTACATTAATTATCCTAATCTATATCAACATAGATGTAAGACAATGATTAATTTTTCAAATGCTTGAGCAAATAATGCGTTCGAAATGTTAAACAGAGCATTCAAAAGTTGAGTTTCAAAACTTTACAAACCTCTTGCTTTAGAAAACTACCTACTATAGTTAATTTTGCATTTGGACAACAATGGAAGGCAATTGCTTGGCACATACTTAATCTTTACAAAAGCTGAGTTATTTTCCAAAAATCCAATATTTTCTTTAATAGAAATAGTTATCATAGTTATATACCCATAGGCCATAAAAAAATCATAGATTTATCAAGATTACTAGCTTCATCCCCTACCTACACTCTTTTTAAATAAACACATACAAAAAGGTCGATTTCAAGTAAATTTAAATTTATTTACATTTTAGAAAAAATCGAAGTAGCATTTGGAATGACAATTTTATAAGTATATATAAAAAATGAAATTTTTAAGAAATCATCTATTATAATTAAAATAAACTACTGGCAAAGTAAAATTTAAATTTTGCGGTAGCTTATTTTCACAAGCTTAAGTTTCTGGGAAAATAAGTCCAAAATTTTCAAAATAAATTTCAATTTGATTTTATTAATTGGCATGGATATATATTTTTTTTTTTGCTTTCAATTAAACATGTAGATCTAACAACCTTTATTTGACTAAAATAAATATCTTGTCCATGGTAAAATGCCAATAACTGAAAAGAAAACTACAATATTTATTTTGTGAGCTATTACACCCATTCTCTGCTTAAACTGGTGAATATAGATTATCTATCTTTCTGCTTAAAAAATCCTAAAATTATTTATGGTACTCTTTAATCACCGAATTAACTAGCTAATTAAAACAGGATACATGATGTGCAATATCTATATAATCAGACATGTTCAAGGTATATCATCTTCCCCGTTAACCTCTAATACTGAGCTTCCATTATTATTATAGTTGCTTTATAACTCAATATTTGGGTCACTTTAAGAGAAAGATCTATAACATATTTTCTTTAAAAAGATGAGATACCTTACTTTGCCTTCCAAAATCTTTCATTTCACCATTTTATTTATAAGCAGAGAAATTTTATCAAAAGTCGTTATTCTGAATTTTATTAAAAGTTGTTATTCTCTCTCATGCCCTGGAAATTGTTTTACAACTACATCACCTAATGGCTAATATGATTGTAACATCAACATTTATTAGTAGGGATTGCTTGTGAATGTTTAAAGACAACACAATCACCTTAATGAAAATGTCCACATTATTGCTTGTGAATCCAAAAATATCAACATTTAGTAGACATATTCTCTCTCACGTCTAACTCCTATTGTGAATGTTTAAAGACAACACAACCACCTTATGTTGTTTGTATCACAAGCACATGTTGAACGTAGCCATCTTTGTTATTAGAGCAAATGTCTCCTCCTTGTTGTCAATTTCAAAAATGTAAATTTATCTATTTATTACAACCACTCTTGTTATACAATCAAATGTGCCATTAGATTCAAATTTTAAGATGTGCCATAGAAGCACACTGGTATTTCAGTGATAGAAAGAATTGTCATCATTCAATATTAATTTAGGGACGTCAATTGTCCTTCTATTCAAGATTCATTACCGAAAATTCTTTCATGCTTGATATATATATATATATATATATATATATATATAGAGAGAGAGAGAGAGAGAGAGAGAGAGAGGAGTTTAAACGACACTGATGTAACTTTTATTAAATATTATACCGCTCAATAAGTTTATATTAAATGTAAATTTTATTGAAAAATATAATCAAAGTGTTTGTATTTTATTATATTTTAAAATATATATATTACGTCAATTTTGTTTTATAAAAATAAAGTATCAAATTATCTTAGATTAATATAAAATTTTGTATATATGATTTAAGAATAAAAAATTTTCAATCTAACAGTTAGGTTTATAAAATTCATGTTTAATATAAAGTTATTGAATAATATATTTAGTACAAGTTACATCAATATCATTTGAACCTTCCTTATATATATATATATATATA